CTTAGTATTCATATTTTTCCATTTATAAAGAATATCAGTAATATGTTTTAAAAACATGGAATTTAAATACAAGCGTTTAATTTAATGTAGACATCTTAATACAAAGGCCATTTTTCATGCTTTTCAGTTTTGCAAAAGCACAAAATCTTAAAAACAAAGCTTTACACTTATTATTTTTATGATGATGCACAAATACACCGATTTTACTCTACTTCTACAAAAAGATTGATTGGAGTACCACAGAACTTGAACTGAATAAATACTAAATATCCAAAATTCCACAAAATGTTTAGACACCTAAAATACGTTTCGACACTGCTCTTTAGCTGAGAATACAGAAACAAAAAAGTCTGGATGAAAAAGAGTGTAAGGCACGGGTGTAAATTCAGTGCGCAACTGTTAAATATATATATTTAAGTGATTTACAGAAAGAAAAAAAGTAAGATAAGGGAGGGAGAAATAACCATAGGATGATATCCACGAATTATGGTTCTTTGAAAAAGATGAAGAAGGGTTTGGAAAGATACTCAAGAAGGAAGGGATTGGAGTTAAATCCTAGGAAAACGAAGTCTATGGAATTTGGGAAAATGAGAGGGAGAAATGATAGGGAAAAAAGGAAATGAGATAGAGGGGGTAAAGTAATATAAAAAGTAAGAAAATGTACGGATCTGGGCTATGCAATAGGTAAAGTAAGAGGAAAAGGTTATTGAATGAACAGAAACAAGTAGAAAGCAAAAGAAATATACATATAAGATAGTTGTTGAATTTAGATAGAGGGACATCCGATTATGCGATTAGGAAAGAAATAAAATGTGGGAACAGGAAAGCAGAAAAAGGGAAGTCAATTATCAGAAGAAATTAGAAAATTCGGCTGATAGGGATACAAAAAAAGGGGTACGGGGAAGAATTGTAAAAATCGAAATAAAAAATTGATATGACAAAGAAAGGAAAGAAGTCTTGAGAGAACTGAATGTGAATCAGAAACATGAACAAGTAAATCAAGATGTAGAACATCTGAGGGTCATAATTTCAAAGACAATAATATGAAGTGGATGTGATGACAAGATTTAGAGTGGGAAATAGAAGCAGAGGGTGAATGTTTCGGATGAAGGAGGACGAAAGGCAATGTAGGATATGTGAAAGGGAGGATGAAACTTTAATGCACATTTTGAAGGAATGTAATAAAAGTAAATAACAGATGATAGAAGTGATGAGATGGTCCTTCTGAAAGAAATTGTGAAATTAAGAAAAATTTTAATTTCAAATTGTCAGAGTAAGATTGAATTTTCACACATCTAGCTTTACACTCTTTCCATATATACTCGTATTCTTAAATGGTTTTCATCATATAAAGCAAAATTTCAGTACCAAAATATATCGACACAGGCATGTGATTAGTTTTAATATAAGGCATTGGTAAAAAAAATAATTTACACATTTTTAGTTCATAGTACCTAAAAAATCTTTCGTAGGTATACGACTTAAACGCATGATTTTAACACCTTCCCTCTTACAACCTCAATAACCATAAATATACACGAGTTACTTTATATGTGTAATTGTTTATATCGTTTGTAAATAATAATATCAATTATGAACTATCAAGACTTACCTACCTTGTTTGATTTTTGTCGGACAATAACAAAGCAAAGTAGATTCAAACGAGCTCCCAAACAAGACGTTAACGCATAACCTAGACTACTGTAATTATTAATGTTTTGTTGTGTTATCCTGCTTACGTTTTCTTCAGTTCGTCATAGTTCGTTAGTCTTCAATATACCCGAAAGTGGTGTAATATACACAGCTTTTCATTGGTTGTATTTCAATTTAATTTTACGAGATTCAGTACTTTGCGTTATGCAACCCATTTTACAGGCGATTACATGTTGTATAATCACAATCTACAAGCTTTGACATTACTAGAACCCATATTTTAAGAAGCAATTATGAAGAGCTGCTCTGTTGTTCGTGAAAATAACAAAAACAAACATTTCAAACCAACCAAGGAACCCATGTTTTCTGACTACTTACAAGGAAATCCTGTTAAAACAATAACACAAAAATGAACAAAGTATGTAACAAAATGTGTGTCTTAATTTAGTACCATGCATTTTTTTTATAGGTTCCACGATATTTTGAGAAAGTAGAAGATTCAAATGAAACTCAAAATAAAGATATTAAACCGAAAAAAGAATTTAAGAAGGATATTGTGTTTAATATTGACGTGAAACCAAAACCATGGGGTCGTAGAAGGGAAGATAATCGAATCAGAAAGGTAAAAACTGTTCCAAGTTACAATCAAACTTTCTTTTCATATTTTGCCTTTGTTAGGAACAAAGAAATCCAAATAAAATAAGTAGAAAGAATGTTAAGTACAGTGCTAATACAAAACCAAAACTATGGGATCATAGAACAAGAGATGGTGGAGTTAAAAAAATCAAATATGTTCCAAATCCTAATCCTAAGTTTCCTGGTCGTGTTCCCATACCTAAACAAAAACTACAGAGGCATAGTAGAGGTGAAGGCATAGAGAAAAAAGGAATTCGAACAGGTGTGCACAGGAAGAAATTTGAAAAGAAAGAAAGAAATATTAAATTAGCAACTGAATTAGCAGCCACAGGGTAATTATATGTTTAATCATTGAAGCTTTGCTTGATTTTAACATCTTAATCTTAATAGTTTTCTAGAAGTAGATGCTGGTGAATCGAGCACTCAGTTTACACAGAAAGAGATTGCAGCTAGTGTTGATATTATATCAGCTACAAAATACTTTGAATTACATCTGCATGAATTCGGCCCCTATCGTGCGAAATATACTCGCAATGGAAGACCTACTTTTGGGTGGTAAAATGGGGCACGTTGCCTATGAGGGCACCTTCATCTAAACATCCGCTTGTTAAAATGCTCTGCCACAAGTCACCATTAACTGCACTCCACATTGATCCCAGAGGAATGTGAGTTATCATTTTTGCCACTTATTCAATTTGTAATGCCTAAGAACATACTGTTTATTATTATTTAGATACATGGCAACTGCTGCCACTGATAAAAGCATTAAAGTGTGGGATGTAAGACAACTGGATGAACCTTTGCAAAATTATACTGTGAGGTCTGCTGCTGAATGTATCAATTTCTCTCACACAAACATGTTGTCNAAGAAGGCTTTGGGAAGATACTCAAGAGGAAGGGATTGGAGTTGAATCCTAGGAAAACGAAGTCTATGGAATTTGGTAAAATGAGAGGGACAAAAGGAAATGTTATAGAGGGGGGGGGTGTAATATAAAAAGTCAAAAAATATACGGATCTGGGCTATGCAATAGGTAAGTAACAATGATAAAATACAAATAGATAATTAAATAGCGAAAGTGAATGCCAGAATTATTGAGCAAGGAGGAAAAGGTTATTGAATGAACAGAAACAAGCAGAAAGTAAAAGAATTATACATATAAGATAGTTGTTAAATTTAGATAGAAGGACATCCGATTATGCGATTAGGAAAGAAATAAAATGTGGGAACAGGAAAGCAGAAAAAGGGAAATCCATTATCAGAAGAAATTAGAAAATTCAGCTGATAGGGATATAAAAAAAGAGGAACAGAATAGAAGAATTGTAAAAATCGAAATAAAAAATTGATATGACAAAGAAAGGAAAGAAGTCTTGAGAGAACTGAATGTGAATCAGAAACATGAACAAGTAAATCAAGATGTAGAACATCTGAGGGTCATAATTTCAAAGACAATAATATGAAGTGGATGTGATGACAAGATTTAGAGTGGGAAATAGAAGCAGAGGGTGAATGTTTCGGATGAAGGAGGACGAAAGGCAATGTAGGATATGTGAAAGGGAGGATGAAACTTTAATGCACATTTTGAAGGAATGTAATAAAAGTAAATAACAGATGATAGAAGTGATGAGATGGTCCTTCTGAAAGAAATTGTGAAATTAAGAAAAATTTTAATTTCAAATTGTCAGAGTAAGATTGAATTTTCACACATCTAGCTTTACACTCTTTCCATATATACTCGTATTCTTAAATGGTTTTCATCATATAAAGCAAAATTTCAGTACCAAAATATATCGACACACGCAGGTGATTAGTTTAAATATACGGCATTGGCAAAAAAAATAGTTTACACATTCTTAGGACAGTACCTAAAAAATCTTTCGTAGGTATACGACTTAAACGCATGATTTTAACACCTTCCCTCTTACAACCTCAATGACCATAAATATAGACAAGTTACTTTATATGTGTAATTGTTTATATCGTTTGTAAATAATAATATCAATTATGAACTATCAAGACTTACCTACCTTGTTTGATTTTTGTCGGACAATAACAAAGCAAAGTAGATTCAAACGAGCTCCCAAACAAGACGTTAACGCATAACCTAGACTACTGTAATTATTAATGTTTTGTTGTGTTATCCTGCTTACGTTTTCTTCAGTTCGTCATAGTTCGTTAGTCTTCAATATACCCGAAAGTGGTGTAATATACACAGCTTTTCATTGGTTGTATTTCAATTTAATTTTACGAGATTCAGTACTTTGCGTTATGCAACCCATTTTACAGGCGATTACATGTTGTTGTATAATCACAATCTACAAGCTTTGACATTACTAGAACCCATATTTTAAGAAGCAATTATGAAGAGCTGCTCTGTTGTTCGTGAAAATAACAAAAACAAACATTTCAAACCAACCAAGGAACCCATGTTTTCTGACTACTTACAAGGAAATCCTGTTAAAACAATAACACAAAAATGAACAAAGTATGTAACAAAATGTGTGTCTTAATTTAGTACCATGCATTTTTTTTATAGGTTCCACGATATTTTGAGAAAGTAGAAGACTCAAATGAAACTCAAAATAAAGATATTAAACCGAAAAAAGAATTTAAGAAGGATATTGTGTTTAATATTGACGTGAAACCAAAACCATGGGGTCGTAGAAGGGAAGATAATCGAATCAGAAAGGTAAAAACTGTTCCAAGTTACAATCAAACTTTCTTTTCATATTTTGCCTTTGTTAGGAACAAAGAAATCCAAATAAAATAAGTAGAAAGAATGTTAAGTACAGTGCTAATACAAAACCAAAACTATGGGATCATAGAACAAGAGATGGTGGAGTTAAAAAAATCATATATGTTCCAAATCCTAATCCTAAGTTTCCTGGTCGTGTTCCCATACCTAAACAAAAACTACAGAGGCATAGTAGAGGTGAAGGCATAGAGAAAAAAGGAATTCGAACAGGTGTGCACAGGAAGAAATTTGAAAAGAAAGAAAGAAATATTAAATTAGCAACTGAATTAGCAGCCACAGGGTAATTATATGTTTAATCATTGAAGCTTTGCTTGATTTTAACATCTTAATCTTAATAGTTTTCTAGAAGTAGATGCTGGTGAATCGAGCACTCAGTTTACACAGAAAGAGATTGCAGCTAGTGTTGATATTATATCAGCTACAAAATACTTTGAATTACATCTGCATGAATTCGGCCCCTATCGTGCGAAATATACTCGCAATGGAAGACCTACTTTTGGGTGGTAAAATGGGGCACGTTGCCTATGAGGGCACCTTCATCTAAACATCCGCTTGTTAAAATGCTCTGCCACAAGTCACCATTAACTGCACTCCACATTGATCCCAGAGGAATGTGAGTTATCATTTTTGCCACTTATTCAATTTGTAATGCCTAAGAACATACTGTTTATTATTATTTAGATACATGGCAACTGCTGCCACTGATAAAAGCATTAAAGTGTGGGATGTAAGACAACTGGATGAACCTTTGCAAAATTATACTGTGAGGTCTGCTGCTGAATGTATCAATTTCTCTCACACAAACATGTTGTCCTGGGCATGGGAAATATTATCGAGTTTATAGGTATAATGAAGTCAGTTTTTAAATTCATTTTAAAATTATTTATTTTTATTTATTATCAAGGGATTGTTGTACAAAAACTGCAAAAAGAGCTTATCTGCGGCATCGACTGACAGGCTTTGTGAGCAATATGGATTTTTGTCCATTTGAAGATGTTCTTGGAGTGGCTTCTTCGAGGGGCTTTACAAGTTTGCTGGTTCCCGGTGCCGGGGAACCTAACTTTGACGCCAGAGAAGCGAATCCCTTCCAAACAAAAATGCAGAGAAAAGAGGCCGAAATCAAAGCCTTACTTGAAAAAGTACTTATAATGATTATAAACGTCTCTTGTTTCATATAAATACATTTGTACTTTTTATTTAAAAGTTATATTTCAATAATTCAATATCTATTTATTTATTTTATTACTTTAGGTTCCTGCTGACCTTATATCACTGGATCCAACAAGAATTGCGGAAGTTGACATTCCAACACTTCAGGAAAAAGTTGAAGCAAAGAAAAAACTTCTGGTAAATTTTTACTACATATTTCAAAACTTATATTAGATGTATTAAATTTTCGTTTTATTTTTTTAGTATCTTAAACCTCCAAAAATTAATTTCGAGTCGAAAAGAAAGGGTAAAGGTAGAGGAGGAACAGTTAAAATGGCCAAAAAGAAGAAAATCGTTCAAGAGCAGGCCAAAAAGGTAAAAAAGTAATTCTTTAACTGTCAGTGATACAAAACTTGCTTTTATATTTAATACAGGAATTTATTAAGAAGACTAAGAATAGTATATCGACTTTACAAAATAATCAGAAGAAGAAAGAAAACCAAACTACTCC